GGCTTCCGGAGGGCCTCCAGGGCCTGGGGGAGGCCATTTTCACCCTCCCAGAGGCCCGAGGGAAGCCTCCGGACTCTGGGGAAGGTGAAAAACAGCCTTCCCGGAAGTTCCGGTAGGCCACGCCCACCATGGCCACTCCCATCCAGCAACTGGGCAGCGAAGTGGTCGCTGGGATTTTTAAATCCTTTTTTTTTTCCCCCCAAACTTTTTTTTTTATTTTTTAACAACAAACATAGACAAACATAAACATCAAACAACAAATAAAACCCCCTTTCAATTTATAGAGTGTGTTGCTTCGTACATATTTCTTGTGCACAATATCTATAGTCTTTTCCTCTTAGATTTAAATTTACACTCATATTACATTAATCAACTTTCCATGTCGTATTATATTATTATTACATTATCATTAGAGTTTAATTTCAAATCCGCATTATTCTTTAGAGCAAATCTCAATTCTTACTCATTTTAATTCATATTATAATTCATTCCAAAGTAATCAATTATAACATATCATTGCTATTGTATTATACTTCAGTTTCCTACTTTTCTATCTAACCATTGGTAAAATAAATTCCCCCCCTGCAAATAATGAACTTCTTTGATTTTTCTTGAAGATGTTTCGCTTCTTATCCAAGAAGCTTCTGAAAGATTGAACTGAAGAAACTTCTTGGGGGAAAAGCAAAACGTCTTCAAGAAAAAAACAAAGAAAAAAGTTCAGTTGACTTTTGAAAAAGCACCTTTGGAACAACCATAACCTGGATGACTGAGAATAGTGAATGTGTGATGTAGTTAGTTAAAGTACATAAATTTAAGCATCAATGTAACCGTTTAGCTTCTGCGAACTATTATACAATCGGATTTAACAGATTTAAAGAGTCTCATTTCGACCCCAATATAGCAACGGGTTCAAACTCTTAAGCTGTCGAACAATTATTTTACCACTTCAATGCGAAATAGGAAAAAATAGCACGCGTTAAGGATTGTTATGAAAATAGAGTTCATTAAAAACCCATCCCTATTTTTTTAGGTGCTTTGACAATCTATTTGCAACTTGCACATTTATTTGCATTTCCATTCCATTTGCAGGACTGCAGGGATGACGTTGGAGGTGCCCAGAACGCTGGCATGTTGGGAATACTGGTAAAGACTGGTAAGTAGTGCTATCTGGGCACTAAAAGAACTTACACTGAAAACTGGACTGGTGTTTATTTCTGTTCTGGCTTATATATAAAAAAATCCATGATCAAGGAATTAGAACATTTTCCCTTAGGAAGAAAAAGAAGTAAGCAGAAAGATGCTCAGAGATTTACCTGGTCATAAGTGAATTGCAGACACCCTTGAAAGGGATCTTGGCGATTATCTATACCAGTGATGGCTAACCTATGACACGCGTGTCACTCGTGACACGCCGAAGCACTTTGACTGACGCCTGTTGGTGTGGGGAAAACCTGCACATTTAGAGGCTGCCTGTGCTCTGCTCCAATCCCTGCTCCCTGCTTGTTGCGTGGAGGCGTGGTGTCACCGCTGCCGCAAGATCTTTGCAACAGAGAACCAGTTTTAACCGCCATAAACTGAGGTTTGTCAGTTTCATTACCTCAGGAACGCTACAGGAGGAAAGGAGATCCATGAGGTTCACAGCCCTGTAAGGTGGCCTTCCGATCCCCACATCCTGCACCTGCAGCCCTGAGACCAGGGAGACGAGTTTCACAGCCCTGTGTGATCACCCCAGCCCAGTCCGTCATAAACCAAATTATTGATATTTCTTGAAGTGACACACGACCCGAGGAAGGCTACACTTTTTCCCGATTTTCGACACACCAAGTTGAAAAGGTTAGCCATCACTGATCTATACCAACTTGTTCCTCCTGACTCAATGCAGGAATTGAAATAGAAGGATCAACAATCCATCTTTCGTGTAAAGATTTCCATTGCAGTTGGCCTCTTCTGTACCCAAGTGGGTCTTTTCCTACTTAAGTTCTTTCATTGTCAGATGTCATGTCCCTGTCAGAGTCTGAATCCGAGGAGGAACAGCTGACAGGGAGTGGGACTGCGGCTCCGTTGGCTGTGGAGGAAACTGGGGAAGGGCAAAGTCCAGCTGGGCAGATCAAGGGAGAGGTGGAACAAGGAAGAGGGAGTTCAGAGGAAGACCCAGGCCCACCCCTTCTTCATCCTAGGACACACAGGGAGGAACGGAGAAGAGAGCAATGTGGGTTGCGTGGCTTACGGGGGAGGAAAGGGCCCTGATTCCCTTCATTAGCCACATCTGGGAAGAGAGTTTAAAAGAAATGCAGGGGCGTGAGGAGGCAGCACGCATTGCCCTCTGGTGCACAAGTGAGCACACAAGCAATTATCGGCACAGGAGCCCAAAAAAGGTGAGCCACCACTGCTATAGAACAAGGAGTCTTTCTCTCATAGCTACTCCAGTAGTAGCTGAATGGCTGTTGCATCTAGATCAGCTGGCTGGGGAATTCTGGGAGTTGAAGTCCACTCTATCTTAAAGTTGATCTCGATCAGGGCTGTCAAAACTCCCGGCCTGTGGGCCAGATGCGTCATGCACTGGTTTAGCAAAAGCGGGGGAATGGCCCACGCCTGGCATAGTGAAAGGGGGGGGGGAGTTCCGATACGTCACGTGAAACTGCCGCAACTATGTGAGTGGGACGCCCTTGCCCCAGATAGTTGGGATCATTGCCTCGTTGTCTGTGTTACTTCACATCATGATTTTCCGATTTGATTTTTTTGCAAAGATTCATCTCCAGACGAAATAATTAGATCATAGAAAAGTAACAAGAATGCATTTCATCTACTGTTTAACAGGAAGGGACCTCAGTCCTTTGGTCAGCAGATAGAACCTTCCATGCCCACTGGATGACTTTTAACAAAGCTGAATTACACTATATTACACTACTAACTAGAGCATACAAAACATTTGCTAGACCAATACTCGAATACAGCTCATCAGTCTGGAACCCACATTACGTATCTGGTATTAGCACAGTTGAGAAAGTCCAGAAATATTTCACAAGAAGAGTTCTCCACTCCTCTACTCGTTGCAGAATACCTTATGCCACCAGACTTGAAATTCTAGACCTACAAAACCTAGAACTACGCCGCCTTCAGTCCGATCTAAGTATGGTATATACAATCATACATTGCAATGTCCTACCTCAATGAATACTTCAGCTTCAACCATAACAACGCAAGAGCACACAATAGATACAAGCTCAAGGTAAACCGCACCAAACTTGATTGGAGGAAATACGACTTCAGCAACAGAGTGGTCAATGTCTGGAATACTCTACCTAACTGTGGTTTTTTTCCCCAAACCCCAAAAACTTTAATGTTAGACTGTCTACTATTGACCTCACCCCTTTCCTATGAGGTCTGTAGGGGGCGTACATAAGCGCACCAATCGTGCCTACCGTCCCTGTCCTGTTGTTTCTTTTTATTTTTCTTATATATATCCATTTCATGTATGCATAACTATGTTTATACTTATACCTTATAAGCAATTGACAAATCAAATAAATAAAATAAATGAATGCACCAGTTAGAACATTGCAAAAAAACTGCGGACACGAATAGGGCTGCAGAAATTTGCGGTGTAAACATTGATCTCTGGCAAAGTTGGATGCTAATTCTGACCTAATTAGAGAATGTAAATTTATTTATGTCTGGTTTTATCATTGCAGGGAAATACCGAGATGCCGACGAAGACAAAATTCACCCACCCCCCTACTTAATCTGCGAGAGCTTTCCCCATGCCGTGGAGCACATCCTCCAGCATCTGCTGTGAAGAAGCACCGCAACTTTTGAAACCTCACCTTCCGGTGCCGCAAAACGAAATGGCCCAACGGCGGCATCCCTTGCAAGAGCGTTGGGGCTTCCTTGGTGCATTGCTGCTGGACTCCAACCCTTTTGGGGACTGAATGTTCCGAAACATTCAGTTTGATGATGGAATGAAGGCTCTCGCTGTGAAAATGGCTTCCCACCTCCCCAAAAATGTTACCCTGTCCAACAGGAGCCTGTGCCCAACCTTGCTTGGTTCCTTGAAGGCAGAGAGGGGAATTTGTGAGGTTGAATAAGGAAGGAAATATGTGACTCACCCTTATAGATTGCTCAGAATCACCTCAAAATGTGAGGTGGGTGGCAAATAAATTTGATAATAATATTATATTGCCAGTGGAATTGTTCTGTTACTGCCTGACTGTCCACCTTCGTGGAAAGGAAAAAAAGTGTGTCTGATGCCCAGACCTTGCTAATATAGCTACTATACTGTGGGCTCACCTACCTTTCCCACTGATGCACTAACTTGGCAGTTTCTCATTATTTGAAAATCTTGTATAGCAGAAAATGGGCACAATTTTAAGGTTCTTAGGCAAAGAGAGTTGGCATCTTTCCATGTGGGCTGCTTTAATGAAGACGTCCCTCCAAGCCAGTGAGTTTCATGTATGTTTGGAAATAAAAGTTTTTCCTGGCTTCTAATGAGTAGGTGAGAACTTGTTTTAAAAGGAATTATTTCAGAAACTAAAAGGAGTAGAAGTTGACGTGATGTCGTTTTGTCAGGTCTCTGAGTGTGTTTTTCTTTTTCTTTTTTTGCTGGAAAACATTTAACTTCCAGTTCTTTGCAAAAAAAAACACACACCACCCACTGCAGACAATGGGTATCACTTAATGGCAGCTACCAAAAATGTAATAAAATTCAGCCGGTTAGGTGGGTGTCTCAATATATGACCACTATACAGTGGAAATTCCGGGCTCTGTTATGGACGTACATCATGGACTATCTGTAAAAGAAAGAGCTAGTCTTTTATATCCACTGCTTTTTATCCATAAAATAGGATTGGCAAGTGTGCAGCTATGTTGACAATACAAATTCAGAACAGCTGAACATGTGGGTTAGCCTGAAGAACCTGGATTAATCCCCTTGGTCCAATCTACAGGTGAAACTCGAAAAATTAGAATATCGTGCAAAAGTTCATTTATTTCAGTAATTCGGCTTAAAAGGTGAACCTAATATATGAGATAGACTCATTACATGCAAAGCAAGATAGTTCAAGCCGTGATGTGTCATAATTGAGATGATTATGGCTTGCAGCTCATGAAAACCCCAAATCCATAATCTCAGAAAATTAGAATATTGTGAAAAGGTTCAATATTCTAGGCTCAAAGTGTCCCACTCTAATCAGCTAATTAAGCCATAACACCTGCAAAGGGTTCCTGAGCCTTTAAATGGTCTCTCAGTCTGGTTCAGTAGGAATCACAATCATGGGAAAGACTGCTGACCTGACAGTTGTGCAGAAAACCATCAGTGACACCCTCCATAAGGAGGGAAAGCCTCAAAAGGTAATTGCAAAAGAAGTTGGATGTTCCCAAAGTGCTGTATCAAAGCACATTAATAGAAAGTTATGTGGAAAGGAAAAGTGAGGAAGAAAAAGGTGCACAAGCAGCAGGGATGTCCGCAGCCTGGAGAGGATTGTCAGGAAAAGGCCATTCAAAAGTTTTGGGGACTTTCACAAGGAGTGGACTGAGGCTGGAGTCAGTGCATCAAGAGCCACCACACACAGACAGATCCTGGACATGGGCTTCAAATGTCGTATTCCTCTTGTCAAGCCGCTCCTGAACAACAAACAACATCAGAAGTGTCTTACCTGGGCGAAAGAAAAACAACTGGTCTGTTGCTCAGTGGTCCAAAGTCCTCTTTTCTGATAAGAGCAACTTTTGCATCTTATTTGGAAACCAAGGACCCAGAGTCTGGAGGAAGAATGGAGAGGCACACACTGCAAGATGCTTGAAGTCCAGTGTGAAGTTTCCACAGTCTGTGTTGATTTGGGGAGCCATGTCATCTGCTGGTGTTGGTCCACTGAGCTTCATTAAATCCAGAGTCAATGCAGCCGTCTTCCCGAAGATTTTGGAGCACTTCATGCTTCCTTCTGCAGACAAGCTTTATGGGGATGCTGACTTCATTTTCTAGCAGGACTTGGCACCTGCCCACACTGCCAAAAGCACCAAAACCTGGTTCAATGACTGTGGGATTACTGTGCTTGATTGGCCAGCAAACTCACCTGACCTGAATCCCATAGAGAATCTATGGGGCATTGCCAAGAGAAAGATGAGAGAAATGAGAGCGAACAATGCAGAAGAGCTGAAGGCCGCTATTGAAGCATCCTGGTCTTCTATAACACCTCAGCAGTGCCACAGGCTAATAGCTTCCATGACATGCCACATTGAGGCAGTAATTGCTGCAAAAGGGGCCCAAACCAAGTACTGAGTACATATGCATGCTTATGCTTTTCAGAGGTCCGATATTGTTCTATGTACAATCCTTGTTTTATCGATTGCATGTAATATTCTAATTTTCTGAGATTGTGGATTTGGGGTTTTCATGAGCTGTAAGCCATAATCATCTCAATTATGACAAATCACAGCTTGAACTATCTTGCTTTGCATGTAATGAGTCTATCTCATATATTAGTTTCACCTTTTAAGTTGCATTACTGAAATAAATGAACTTTTGCATCATATTCTAATTTTTCGAGGTTCACCTGTGGAACGTTTTTATTTCAGAAGAACAAAGAAAACACATTATCTTTTCCGGGTAAGAGCCTAATTGTAAAACACCAAGAGCTTTTCCATAAGTTGTCATAAATCCTTCCTTCCCAATTTAAACCAGGTGAGCTGCATCAGTGATGCTTCATTTTAAGTGGGCTGCCATTTATGCCAAGGGTCTTCAAACTTGGCAAGTTTAAGACTTGTGAACTTCAACTCCCAGAATTCCTGAGCTAACATGACCACCTGTGATGACCCGTAGTCTCTCAAAATAACCCAAAACATATTAAAGTCTGGTAAAGCCTTCAACTTAACTTCACTGTTTTATTAGGCACAGTTTAAAGTCACAAAAGTAAATAATGAGGCAAACAGAAAACCAAAACAAACCGCATTGATGAGAGTTCTGAAGCAAGCCGAGATAATTATAAACTCCAGGAAAATAACCGAGAAAAGTCCATAGGAAGAACGCCAGCAAAGATAAACCTCTTTCAAGGTGAACACTAAATTGACTTCAGCAATTCTAACTGCGCAGTTGCAAACTTATATACATAGCTCCCACCTGCAAGCCACGAGGAGGATCATGGTAATCTCCTCTTGAGTAGACACTTCGCTTTTCCCAGATCCTCTCCTCCCTGCGTGCCCTAGGATGGAGAGGGGATGGGCCTGGATCCTCCTCTGACTGCTCAGCCGGCCTCTGCCCTTCCCCAGCCTCCTCCACCACCTCTGGAGCCACACTCCCACTCCCTGTTGGCTGTTCCTCCTCTTCCTCAGAGTCAGTCTCCACCAGGGGCATGACACCACCTGAGGAGGAATTTTGGGAGTTGAAGTCCACAAGTCTTAGAGCTGTCAAGTTTGAAGACCCCCTGCCATATATTAAACTTCTGCCAATCTTTAATAATGATCCAGGCTTGGTTTTGAGATGGCAAGTAAAGAGTAAACCACTGCTTGCGATCTGCAGATCAGAGGTGGTATTCAACAGGTTCTGACCAGTTCTGGAGAACCAGTAGCAGAAATTTTGAATAGTTCGGAAAAAACGGCAAATCTCACCTCTGACTGGAGATTTTACAGTATCCTTCCCCTGCCACGCCCACTAAGCCCTGCCCACAGAACAGGTAGTAAAAAAACTTGAATGCCACCACTGCTGCAGATGTTTTAATTAGTCCTATTAACAGGAATATGTATTTTCTGACTAGCTTGTAGACTGGGGGAGGGAGTGTCTAAAATAAGACTTGATTAGCCCCTATTAATTTTCCATTATATCCCCTGTTCCATTAGGGAGGGATTCTTCCCTTATTCCATTTTAAACGGGGAGGGGGAAATAGTTTGGAAACCAGAGGGACATATATTTGCTTTTTGGGTTGTTTTTTTTAAATACAGTTCTGATGTGAGGTAGCAGTTTAAAAGGAGCCCCATTCAGCCTGCATGTACTGTAGTAACACCCACAAATGTTCTTTTATAACAACGGTAAAATAGCTTTCCTAGTCCATTTGGAAGATAAACTATATAAGCCCTTTCTGATTATTATTTTTTGGGGTGGGTGGGGCTCCTGAATATAAAACTCTTAGACTGTAATTGTAATATTGATCGTACTGAAAGAACAGATTTCTTAAGAAGAATTCCTGAGGGCGGATAGGAGAAAATTCAGCGTTATCACAGACTATGGTTAAGTGAGCTTAGATCTGGAATACATGTACAAGTCACGAAAAGAAATCATTGACGATTTCTTTTTGTTTTGCTTCTCATCCAAGAAGCTTCTTCAGCTTCTGTAGAGCTGGAGAAGCTTCTTGGATGAGAAGCGAAACATCTTCAAAGAAAAACCAAGAAAGTTCAGGTGCCTCTTGAAAAAAAAAATCACCTTTGGGACAACTATGACCTGGAGCAGTGGCCCCCAACCTTTTTTGTGCCACGGCCCGGTACCGGCATCACAAAATGATCCGCGGCCCGGTATCGGCATCAGCACGCATGGCAAGGCGAGCGGAGCGACCGGCCAGCCAGCCGTCCCCCGCTTCTCCCCGCCACCTTCAACTCCTCCTTTGTACCTTTGTCGATGGGCTTCGGGACGGCCGCTCGGCTCGCCTTGCCTTGGGTGCTGAAAGAATCCTCGCGCCTTAGTTTTGTTCGAAGCCGCCCCCCCCCCTTCGATGAAACTAAGGCGCGAGGATTCCTTCAGGACCCAAACGCCGCTTTCCAACCGGAAAAGCTCACCCGGAAGCACTTTCTCGTCAAAACAAGATGGCGGCGCCCAGCAAACTGGCGCCCCGGTAGAAAATGTTCCACGGACCGATACCGGTCCGGGGCCCGGTGGTTGGGGACCCCTGACCTGGAGGACTTGAGTATCTCCGTAGATATTTGTCTATTTTCAGTCTTCTGACCAAGGGAAGATAGAGGAGCCCTGCTGGTCGCTGTAAGGAAGCCTCCAAAAGACATCCCTGAGACTCCAAAGTGGTTTATTCTTCAAGGATATTCTTCAAAATCTACCGGTTTAATACAAGGATGCCCAAGAAGGCCCAATTAATGTCTTTCTTAATCACGTCCTATCTGCTTCCACTAAGGAAGAAAAGTGTAGCAGCAAATATTAAGCCAGCCAAACAGATCCCAAAATCTAGCTGACACGAGAATAAAAATGGCCGGTCATGTTTAATTACAAAAATTAAAAAGGGCAAAAGTGCTAAAATGTTTTTTTTTCTGTTGTGCGTATGAGTCTAAAGCTGAAAAGATATAACAAGGTTTCTCCAAGTAACCATTGGTGGCCTCTTCTCCATCATCAAAACTCAGTATCCAGTTTGAAAAGTGACAGGTTTCTCCTCCTCTTTGTTTTAAACCCACCCACCCCAAAAACTCTTAAGAAATGGGTTGGGTGGGGTGGAGGAGCTGGAAACATGGATGATTGTTCCAGATCTTAAACTAGGCTCAAACCGACTCAAATTCTCTTTGCCAATCAACGTATCTTTGACTTAAGTTCTTAGCAGAGGGCTTGGTATGAGAAATGACATCCAGGAAGTCTTCAGTTGTGACTGTGTCCAAGTGGATCACCGGTAAGTTTCCATTGTCTGAAGAAAGAAGATCTCCCATTAGAAACTGAAATGCCA